AGCCCAAGGCAGATGCTTAACTGATTGAGCCACCCACCCAGGTGCCCCACCAGCACTTTAAATATGTCATTTCACTGACTTCTTGCCTGCAATGTTTCCAATGAGAAATTAGCTAAAAATTTTATTGAAGATTCTTTGTATGTGTTGTATCACTTCTTTCTTGCTGCTTTTAAGAGTCTCTCTTTGTCTTTGTTTTTTAACAGTTTGACACATGGGACTCATTATGCCTCAGGGTAGATCTCTTTGAGTATCATATTTGGAGCTCATTAGGATTCTTGAGTATGTAGATTCATGTCTTTTAATCAAATCTGGGAAATTTTCAGCCATTATTTCCTAAAATATTCTTTCTGCACCTTTCTCTTCTTCTCTTTCTGGGACTTTCATATGTGTATGTTGTCTACTTGATGGTGTCCCACAGATCTCTTAGGCTCTGTTCACCATTCTTCATTCTTTTTTCTTTCTACTCCTCAGCCTTCACTTCCTGCTAGCACTGAATCTAGAGATCAGCCAGGGGAGGGAGACTAGTGTCTTCTCAGGTCTTTCCTGAGCACACATCTTGCCCTGGATATGTGTGTAGCTTTCCATTTTCAAAAAAGATTTATTTATTTATTTATCTGACAGAGAGGGGCACAGCAAGAGAGGGAACACAAGCAGGGGGAGTGAGAGAGGGAGAAGCAGGCTTCCCGCCTAGCAAGGAGTCTGCTGCCGGAGCACGATACCAGGACCCTGGAATCATGACCTGAGCCGAAGGCAGATGCTTAACCAATTGAGCCACCCAGGCGCCCCTGTATGATTACATTTATGTCAAATTTTCAGAACAGGCAAATCTAGAGATAAAAAGTAGATTTGATTGTCTGGGGCTGGGTGAAGGTGGTTGGGAGGAAATGGGGACTGACTGACTCCTAATGTGTATGGGGTTTCTTTTGGGGGTGATGAAAATGTTCTTGGATTAGATAGTGGTGATGGGTACACAACTTTGTGGCTATACGAAAAAGCACTAACTGTAGGGGTGCCCAGGTCACTCTGTGGGTTTGGGGTCTGACTCTTGATTTAGGCTCAGGTCATGATCTCAGGGTCCTGAGATCGAGCCCCATGCTGGGCTCCACGCTGAATTTGGAGCCTACTTAGGATTCTCTCTCTCCTTCTCCCCCTCCCTGTTCTCTCTCTCTAAAAAGGCACTAACTGTACACTTTTAAAAGGTGAATGTTATGACATGTGAATTATATCTGAATTAAGTGAAAAAGAAGGGAGAGGAAGGCATGAGAGAGGGAAGGTGAGGGTGAGACCCAGAGCACAGTTAGGAAGATTATCCTTGGCAAGAAGGCTCATCACCTCTGTAGTGTGAGAAATTGTGGTGTGGGGACAGATGCACAGTGGATGGCTCTACTGGCAGCAAACACATATCCACTTGCTGTGTGCCAGGCATTTTTTGAATTGCTTTACATAGATTTTTCATTTAAACCCCAAAACAACCCTGTGAGGTGGGGACTATTTTGATCCCCATCTTACAGGTGGGATACCTGCAACAGAGAGGTTAAAGAGACTTGCCTGAAGTCACCCAGCTGGGCTAAGTGTCAGAGCTGCAATTTCAACCCAGATAGCCAGCTGCAAGGGCTCCAGGGTCTAGCACTTTGCCTCTACCCTGCACTATCTCCTGAGTTTCTGTTCTCTCAACAGTCTAGGCAAGGCTGCATGCTGAGAGTGTGACAGGGGCTGAGAGCACATTTGGGGCTTGCAGACAGAAAAGGTGAGAAAACTACCATGAATGATGTGAGGGAGTCAACAGCTGAATAGGCAGGATGTTGGCAGTAGTAGAGGCTTGGCAGAGGCAGTTTCTCCATCCGCACTGACATTAGCCCCTTTTGCTGGATTCTAGCCCTTTCGATTGTTCGATTCCTGCAGGTCTGTGGTGGGAGTCTTCCTATGTGGTTCTCAGACTCTGGCGAAGAGTCTGAGCAAACGCTCTCACCAGTACTCCAGTCTGGATCCCAGGATGGTTCAATTCTACTTCAACAAAGAAAACTTCTGAACTATAGGAACAAGGGTGCTAATCTGCATTTAGTCTCTCCCCTGAATCTCCAACAAGTTACTTGGTCTGATCAGGTTTGGGCACAGCCATTTAAAGGATGATAACATGCCTCTCAGGCTCTGATTCCCTGGCATCTCTTTTTTAATTGGATTCAACTTGGATGTCACTGATCTTCATGAGGTCATACTAATGGCAAAGGCCATGGATCCTTTCTTGGGGGAAAGAACTATATAAATCCTTCTGGAACGCCATGAGTGCAACAAGGCCTTAGAGCAGTGGTGTTTGACAGCTACACAACTTGACCCCAGGTGATACCGTTGATTCCAGGTGTTGCTTTTGGTCATATTTTTCCCTCCCTCTCACCTCCAAAGAAGATTTGTAATTAGGGTGATTTTTTTAAAATAAAAAATTTATTGAAGAGTTAATGACAAAACATAATAATAAGCATAAATAATAAAACAATGAACATAAAATCACCAAGAACCCCATCCCTATATAACACTATGTACATTCTTACTGTTATTTTAAACATGGTCTTATCCAGTGTGAATAGCAATTTCTGCTTTACTTATTTTTACTTGTCAAGAAATGAAGGATTTTTTTCTTTGCTTAATGAGTGAAACTTTTATTACTTAATCTAGGCTCTCCATTTGGGAAAGAAAATCCTGGAACTCTTTTAATTTTAAGTAAAATTATATTATAATTGAAAGTCAGATAATTGTCATTAGCTTACATTGTTCTGTTGGAAATAATTGCAAAAACTTGAACTCCATCTTAAGATGACTTAGTCAACAGGGGCTCTTTATCATCATTTTTACTAAGGGGGTTTATGAACGTTTCGTTTCTCAAAAAGATAAATTTAAAACTTTGATACCATTTTTTCGGGCTCTTCCCTATTCATTGAGGAATCATTCACTTAATGACATAAGCAAGATGTCTTTTTCTCCTATCAAAATGCTTTTTTTCCTCCATCCACCTGGCTCTGGGATGTTAGTAGTCACAGTGATCAGTAGAAGTAAAGACTGGGGGGACCTGAAGAGAGAGGAAAAAACCCATACTTCACTGTGCCCAAAGACAAGTCAACTCATTAGATTTGTAAGAATGTTTTTACTAAATAAGCATTATAGCACCTATTTCTCTACCATTAAGTGACCAAAAATGAATAGACAGTTGTTTCTAATGATCCAAAAACCTATATGACTTGAAGGATTAGTAAGATCAATTTTTAGTAACTAGTCTGAACAAAACAAAGGTGTCATGAACTCATGGTAGCTAATCGTTTCATTTATTAATTGGACATCAGGAAAAAAATAGTAATGGATTATTTCTGTAGGAACAGATTGGAATATCCTAGCTGTTGCCGATTTCCTGGATTTCAATGATCTAAATGAAATTTAATAAGGCTTTAGGAAAATGCACAACGGAACCTGGATGACGTGGTTCCTCTTAGATAATTGCTGACCATAGAATTTGATCTTCATTGATTTTGATTTGGAATCTTAGTGTTCCCTGAAACTTACATAATGAGTTCCTAATGAGAAAGGCTTCACTCTGTTTCTATGTCTACCTGTATTGATACTTCAAGAGAAGACTGCTGCTGAAAATCAATATGTTAAGGCCTAGAATATTCATGGAAGTAGGCAGAAAAAGTATTGATAATAAATCCTAGGTATAATCAACATCCAAGTCTCAATTGGGGATGAGCAGGATACCCAGAAAGCTCCTCAGCTATTTTGAGCACGTTTTACTTCCTAGGTTATAATATGAAGTAGCTTATTTAGCAAATTTTTGTCATAGTAAATGTTTACATATCAGAATAGAAAATCCCTCAATTTCAATGTCTCTCATAAAGTCGATTATCATTGCATTCTTTTGCTTGACATGTAAGCAATATGCTATTACATTCTCTAAGCCTATGGAAGGCTTTTAATTCACTTGACCGTAATCCTCACCCAGAGGGTAGGGTTCTGAAAATATAAATAGGCTCAAATAATAGTTCCAGTGGAACTTTACTAATTATTAAGGCATCTCTTAACATCTTGAGGTTGGCCTGATGGGAGAGAAATCATGTTCCTCCTTAATGCCACTATGAGATAGAGAATACTAGGCAGGAGGAGCCACAGGTTAGAGCGAGTGCCACTAATTACTGCCACATGTATCTGCAAGGAAGCAGGCAGGGGCAGGCCTAATGGGCAATCTGACTGCTTGTGATCTACATTTGGTCCTCTTAAAATAAATGAGAAGAATGTAGAAGTTTTGGGGTTTTCTATGTTTTAATTTCCCAGAATAAGTTTGGTTATGGGGGAAGGCTGTAAGTTCATGATTATCTAGAAGGCAGAGTGAAATGTATATTGTTCCTTTGATTTTTATTTAGTTTTCACTTCATCTTGAACATGTGAAAAATTAGTGGCTTCTTTAACTTTTAAGGTTGACTACCGAGACTGAAAAATTTTAGGACAGACAGGTAAATGTTAACAGTCTCCTGTGTTGCTGACACACTCCAACCAGTGCCAACTCAACATTGTCTTAGCTCTTAACTGTGCATGTGAATAAACCTGTTATTGATTAAAAAAAAGTGCATTTTGATCATTGCATTTTTCTAAACTAAATACACTGCTCTGCTAGGCTCTTTGCTTTGTTGGTCTTTTGACCATTTTATAGCTCTAAGCAGGGGCTATTTTCTCCCAGTAAACTCAGAAGTTCTAGCAAGTTCTCAAAGGGCAAATCTTATTATTCCTGCTGGAAGCAAACAAAGCAAAAACTAAGTTGCAGAAAACACTGCTTCTGAGAAATTCTCAAATATGACCAAGAAGAATAAGTGGTTAACTCAAAGGAAAAACAGAACTATGGCAATATAACATTAAAGAACAATACTGCGGTAAGGGTTGAAAACACACCTAAGGTTTCAACCTTGGTGTTCAGCTTTTTAAAAGCAAAAAGGTCGTGTATATCAATTTGCAGTATACTAAAATTGTGTTCAAAGTTTATTTCAAGTCACAGAAAATATACAAACTAAGACAACAGAATAAACTGATTTTGTTCTGAGAGAAGATGATGGGAATCCTCCACCTGGCACCAATTTGAGTCATTCAAGGGTTAGGATGCAGAAGTCATCTTTTTGCAACATTTCAACAAAGTTATGGAATTAATTTTCCGATTTGTTGCCAGGTATTTTTGAAAACCTGTAAGGAAAAGTTGGGAGAAAGCCATTAGAAATGGAGACAAAGTTCTCTTTCCCAAACATCAGGAAAAAAAAAATTTAAAGTTTTTTAAAATTTTAAAGTTGGGAGGGAGGCTATGCAAAAGAGCCAGTCACCAGGGAGAGATTCCTAAGGTGTCTGCCTCCAGGATCCCCAAAGGGATCACCTGTTACAGCAGAGTTTCTCAACCTCAGCACTACTGACATTTGGAGACAAATAACTCTTTGTTATGCACACAGGGGTGGGGGAGATATCCTATGATTATAGGATGTTTAGAAGCATCTCTGGTCTCTCTACCTGCTGAATGCCAATAATATACCATATCCCCTAAAGTTGTGACAATGAAAAATGTTTCCAGACATTTCCAAATGTCCTACAGGGAGCAAAACTGCCTCTGGTTGAGAACCATTGATCTGACAGAATAGAAGCCTGTCAGAAGTGACAGCAGATATGGATCACAACTAGCAAGGTATAGCATGGACGGAGAGCCAACATTTTGGCCATATTATGTACAAGTAACAACAAATACACATTAAAACCTTGGCCACATAAAACGGTATAGACCTACAAGCACACAGCACATCTTTCTCTCTCTCTCTCTCTCTCTCTCACACACACATGCACACACATGAATGTAGGTTTAAAAAATGGTGAAAACAGAAAAAGGTCTGTAATCTAGTTAACAGTAATGTATCAATGTCAGTTTCTTGGTTTTGTACTACAGATCAAAAAGGTATTGCGTAACAGCTTCTCAAGATGTTATCTCTGGGGGAAGTTGGGGGAAGGGTACATGAGGCTCTTTGTACTATTTTCCCAACCTTCTGTGAATTTATAATTATTTCAAAATAAAATATAAAACAAACAAAAAACATTGCCCTGTGGTTTATGTGAAAGGCTTTGAATTATCTTACAAGCTAGAATACACAACGAAAGAACGTTCAGAAACATTTTTCTCTTCACTATCTAGAAACAGTAATTTCCTCATATTGTAGGGAATGTCTTCTCTGACATAAATAAATTAGAAAAAGTAAAAGAGGGGCGTAGTTTTTCATCTATTGCTCTGACTATAACAGTCTATACTTTTACTTAAAAAAATGTCTTTGGGTATCTGGACTAAAAAGATAAAGTACTGGTCATACCAAAAGTCTGGCTAGCTATCCATCTATGACAGCTTCTCATTATAGTCCAATCATTTAAAGTCTAAATACAGGGATGTCTTGGTGGCTCAGTTGGTTTAGCATCTATCTTTGGCTCAGGTCATGATCCCACGGTCCTGGGATTGAGCCCTGTGTTGGGCTCTCTGCTCAGCAGTAGCCTGCTTCTCCCCCTCCCTCTGCCTGCAGCTCCACCTGCTTGTGCGCTCTCTCTCTCTAATAAATAAATAAAATTAAAAAATTATTAAAAAAACAAAGTCTATGAGGAATTTGAGAGGCAGTGTGGGGGGTTTGGGGGTAGGGAAGGAAAAAATGAAATGAGATGGGATTGGGAGGGAGACAAACCATGAGATTCTTAATCTCACAAAACAAACTGAGGGTTGCCGGGGGGAGGGAGGTAGGGAGAGGGTGGTTGCATTATGGACATCGGGGAGGGTATGTGCTATGGTGAGTGCTGTGAAGTGTGTAAACCTGGCGATTCACAGACCTGTACCCCTGGGGTTAATAATACATTATATGTTAATAAAATAAATAAATAAATAAACCTGAGCACCTACCAAAAAAAAAAAAAGTCTAAATACAGATATGAAGCATGTTTCCAGTTTGGATGTTTTAATGACTTTGCAAATATGGATTAAAACACAATATATTTGTAAAGACTTCTAATTAGTGTAAATGAGCTCACTATTATCTGATATTAGATGGATGGGAATTATAACACAGATGGGGTAACAAGTAAAAATTCAAAAGGTGATATTCCAGCTGATATTGGGCCAATGTAAATTTTAAGTTGTTTTTAGAAAACAGTATTTTTGGGGTGCCTGGCTGGCTCAGTTGGTAGAGTATACGACTCTTGATCTCAGCATTGTAAGTTTGAGCCCCAAGCTGGGTGGAGATTACTTGAAACTAAAGAAATCTTTAAAGAAAAATGAAAACAATTATTTATTTATTTATTTATTTATTTTAAAAAAGATTTTATTTATTTATTTGACAGACATCGGAGATCACAAGTAGGCAGAGAAACAGGCAGAGAGAGAGGAGGAAGCAGGCTCCCTGCTGAGAAGAGAGCCCGATGCAGGGCTTGATCCCAGGACCCTGGGATCATGACCTGAGCTGAAGGCAGAGGCTTTAACCCACTGAGCCACCCAGGCGACCCAATTATTTATTTTTTAAAGATTATTTATTTGACAGAGAGAGAGAGAGAGAGAGAGAGCGAGCACGTGCGTGCGCATGCCAGAGAGTGCACACAAGCAGCAGGAGTGGCAGAGGCCGAGGGAGAAGCAGACTCCCTGTGGAGCAGGGAGCCCAATGCAGGGCTCGATCCCAGGACCCTGAGATCATGACCTGAGCTGAAGGTGGACACTTAACCCACTGAGCCACCCAGATGCCCCAAGAAAAAATTATTTATGAAATACAAGATGTTGGGGAAAATGGTTTTTATTTATTTATTTATTTATTTTCAAAGAATTTATTTATTTATTTAACAGACAGAGATCACAAGTAGGCAGAGAAGCAGGCATAGAGAGAGGGGGAAGCAGGCTCCCTGCTGAGCAGAGAGCCCGACTCAGGGCTTGATCCCGGGACCCCGGGATCACGACCTAAGTGGAAGGCAGAGGCTTTAACCCACTGAGCCACCCAGGTGCCCCAGGAAAATGGTTTTTAAAAGAAAGGCCAATACACGGAATCAGATGGTTCCATGATTACGATCCATTTTATCTGACAGGTAAGAAAGAAAAAGGGCAGCAGTGTATAGCAACCTCTAAAATGTAAAGGGACTGATGGTGATAGTGGATGGTCATAACCCTGGAATATGTGCTCTAACAATTTAACATCAAAAGAGTCAATATTAAATAAATACTGGAAACCAAAATATTTATATATTTTATTGAAATGCTTTATATTTTCACCATTTTGATGGCACAGTTGGAATAAAATAACACCACTGATCCTGGAAGGATACACACCAAACCACATTTAGAGGTTGTCCCGGGAAGAAGATTAAGGAAGCAGAGCTTCCTACTCCGACCTTTCTCCATTTCTGTATTTGATTAAATTCGTAAAAGTGATGTTACTTTTGCCATTAGGAAAGAAAGGTTAAAAAAGTTTACAACCAACTCAACAAATGAACAGATACCCTGTTGTCTTCCCCATCCTGACAGAAGCTGACCTAACGAAGGGTGAAGAGTTTAGCCAAAGGGAGTGTGGGCCTTGGACAGTCTTCATAGATCAGCTGAGAGGGCCATGGGTTAAGGCTGAAAGTCTCTAATACCCCAAATGCACAAGGAGATCATCTGACTTAGGCAGGTTAAGTCTGCTCACCTTTCAAGGTGCTCCAGTGGATTTCTGTATTTGTTCCTTTAAGATCAGGATACTCTGCCTCTGCTCCGGAGGCAGCATGGCGATCTGGTCCGCAGTCAGCTGAAGGACCTGCATGATCAAAGCAGCCTGTGAAGAGAAGAAAAAAAAGGGGAATGAGTTTTAATGATGGCGGCTAAGAAACCACCACCAGCTTCCGTCCAAAAAGGAAGGATACTTCACACATAGAATACTACAGGCAGAAAAACCCACCCTAAACCAAATCAAACCCAAACCAGCTGGCAAGAAAAGGCACAATGAAAAGCTCAAATACAATAATACCGAAGATTAGGAGACTCAAATCAGACAGACGCCTGCACGAACCCAAAGTTCTTACAGACTAACATGCTATCTGTGAACCTTGGAAGTCTTCAGTTTTTAATCCTGTTTTAAAGATTTTTAAAATTTTATTTATTTGAGAGAGAGCATGCGCAAGAGTGTGAGTGGGTGGAGGAGGGCAAAGGCAGAGGGCGAAGCAGACTCTATGCTGAGCAGGGAGCCCGAAGCTGATGCGGTGCTTGATCCCAGCAGGACCCTGCAATCATGACCTGAGCTGAAGAAAGATACTTAACCACTTAACGGATGGAGCCACCCAGGCGCCCCTTTTAAAAATCTTTTTCAAAAGTTTTAGTCCTCCCATCAGATATGAGCTCCCCACAATGGTCAAATATAGAAACAGATGTACTCATGGGGAATCTGCTATGTTTTTAGGGATAAAGCAGAAAGGGGAGAGGGAAAAAAGGAAATCAGATTTTCAGGTCAATCTGGTCTGCAGAAAACAACCGTTATCACCTGATGAGTCTGAAATGTAACATAAGCTGCCATTTATATACATCCATTCAAGAATTTTAAGACCAGGCCCACAGATTTTCAGATAACAAGATCATAAAGAGTTGTAAGAGTAAACATCAGTTCCAAAGGAACTCCAAAGACCCAGGACCTCCACATCATAAAAGAGGAATCCAGAAGATGTGTGGCTATGGAGACAGACAGCTTACCTTCTCATGGTCCTGTGGGGTAACTTGGTTCTGGCCAGGACTAAAGCCCCCAGGCTGACCTCCACCCTGAATGCTTGCTCCTTGCATGCCTGCTCCCTGCATGACTGGGACCTATGTGCACAAAGAGAGAGGAGAGAGTTTTCAGAACTTCTCATATAGTATTCAGAATCCAATAGCAGCAATGTGAAAGATATGGTTTGATTATGGATAGGAGTTTAAAAAAAAAGCAAATTAATGACTCTGAAGATCACTTTCTACCATTAGCAATGGCAGAAGGCAGGGTTTAGCAAGAGATCAACTAGAGTTAGACACATTTGCTTATAGCAGCTCTAGCATCATTAACAAATATCATACAGCTCAATCAGGTACCATCAAATCAAGCAAAATCCAGCTGCATGAGCAGAGAGAAAACTGAGAGCATCCTAGAAACTAGTGCTCAGTGGAAACAGCAATGAAAGCCAGCAGATTCTAGAGATAATGTATGCTGGTTCACTGGGGAAGCGACATTCACAGAGATACTGCCTACCTCTAGTTCAATCAGACATAGGCAGCTCATCCCAAAGAGCCCTATCCCACAAGTAAGGCAGAGATGATCATAATGGCAGTGGCAGAAGGAGAGGGGAAGGCCTCTGGGGAAAAGAATGCTATTAGCTCAACATTTGCTTTTTATACCTTCCCAGAGAAAATATGCAACAGATGCTTTCTGCTAAATACAGAGCAAGAAATAGGACTGACCCAAGTTAAAAGAACAAAATGCAGTTATAACATACTTATTTATGATCTTCGGTGAGTTTGATCTTTGGGAAGACTATCAGAACCCAAAGAAAAGGCCTCAGAGCACCAAGAATAACTGCTAAAGGTCCTTACATTATGTTCACACTCAGGCATTCACCCAGAGTTTAGGTACTATTATGAAACACAAATTGTGAACAAGCTTAGTTACCTGCTTCCCCAGCTGATCAGAAGCAGCAAAGCACAAAAAGAAATGTGGATACATTGTTAAGAACAGATGCCATGACAGCAACGTGAATAGCTAGTCGACAGCCTTATAGTGAAGGAGATTGGAAACCACACAGGAGATAACTACACTTTCTATTATAGCACATATAATAGGCACATTCAATGATGACCCTGAGTAATCAAAAATGGTAAAAAATCATTTTTCATTATCTTGTTTAAAAAGGGAAGAAAGCACAGTACACTTTATTATCACTTTCTGTTCTTTATCAATACTGAATCTAGAGACCAGTCTGAACCTTAATGTTACGTTACAGATCTGAAACATTAGGAAAATAACAAGTTTGAAGCTTCACAGTTAATACTAATTTGAAGTATTATATCATGAGCTAAACATTCAATAATGGCCATTTAAAATTTCCAGGAATGCCTGCTCTAGGCAGACAAGTCACAATACAGGTGACCACACGGTCACGATTTGCCCAAGATAGTCCCAGTTTATGCTTTTGCCCCAGAGTAACTAATAGCACTCTCACTTGCAAACATGTCCCTGTTTGGATAAGTCACATAATCACCCTAGTAATGATAAGCCTTTTATTTATTTATTTTTATTTTAAAGACTTAATTTATTTATTTGACAGGGAGAGACACAGCGAGAGAGGGAACACGAACAGGGGGTATGGGAGAGGGAAAGCAGGCTTCCTGCTGAGCAGGGAGCCTAATGCAGGGCTTGATCCTAGGACCCTGGGATCATGATGTGAGCCGAAGGCAGACGCTTAATGACTAAGCCACCCAGGTGCCCCATAATAAGCCTTTTAACTAACAAGTTTCCAACTAGGTAAACTGGAATTAATTTTTTAAAATATGATTTAAAATTATGAATTAGGGATATACTATAAAGTTAAAAACAAACAAAGCACAGAACAGTGAGAGAAAGGAAATATAGATGCATTTTTTTCTAATAATATATTCTTCTTTGTTAGAAAAATCCATCAAAAATTGAATAAAAGCTATGATCTGTAGGGGATGGGGTCAGAGGGGAGACAGATACAGGGGAAGAAGCAGGGTTCCCACTGTCTATCTCTTACATATGAGTGAACATATTAATTTAAACAATATAAAAAAGATTTGAAGATAAAAATTTTATTTTTTTCACTCAAATCTAACACGCTTTATACAATCTACGAATGAAAACTATATAAACCTAATATTACAGAGTAATGAGTTTAAGCACTAGCAGAGACAGGAAAGCAAGACATTATCCAGAAATGGTCTTCCAACCTTTATTTTCAATGTCTTTCTCCACAAAACTATTGATAGAATTATATAACGACATCAGGTAGTTATTTGTTGTCAGTCTCTCTAGTTAGAATGCAAGCTCCGTGGGGGCGGGGACTTTGTTTTTTTCACACTGCTATATCCTTAGTACCTAGAGCTCTCTCTGGTACACAATAGGTGCTCAATAAATATTTGCTGACTGACTAAATAAATGAATAAAAACTGTTTCTATTTTAAGGCTACTGATCCTAGAGGGCAGAATAAACATCAAGGCCCCCAGACACATTTTTAAAAAGCACAATTTGAAAAAAAGAGAATAGTTTTCTTTTACACACCAGAAAACAACATATTCGTATTTCCTATTAAAGAAGGGGAGGCAGATACACATATACACATACATGATGTGCAGATAACAGGACTGAGTGGTACACTGAAAAAAACAGTGGGTTCTATTCCTTGCTCTGCCACTTTTCAGTTGTGTGAATTTGGACAAGTCACCTGAATTCTTGGATCTCAGTTTCCGAACCTATAAAATGAGAGAACTGGATGACTAACATGTTCCATTCCAGTGACACTCTCCCTCTCCCTCTCACGCATACACACACACACAAACGAGAGCAAGACACATAAACATATGGAAGAGCGAAGAGAGACAGAAGTAGTACATTGAGGAAGGAGGAGCAGGAGGGAGACGAAGGTGCCAGCACATACAAATTCAGGGAAGAGACACACATACCATCTCCCCACAAACATTTGTGTGTGAAGAGGGAGATGACAACACAGAGGTGATTACAGATTGCCATATACACATAGCTAGAGAGAGCCAAATAAGAAGAAAAGATAATTCAGTTGCACAGGTTTTAAGGTGAACGTTAGTAAAAACTGCCTTTCATGTTCCACCGTTCACTTAGGTTACATGATGAAAGTAAATTAAAATAGGTTTCTGCAAAACTAAGATTATCGAAATGACTGCTAATAGTTCTTCATATGCTCTAATGCAGTTCCTACGGTTGTACATTAGAATCACTTGGGGGAGGTTTTCAAATTATCCATGCCTAGATTCTAGTGATATACACTGCCTCCTAAATCTGCAGGGGCTCTGCTCTGAATGGAACAACTCCTTAAATTGTGGGATAAGATTGCTACAATCCTGGTGGCCAGAAAATAACCATCTTAAGGGACAGATAAACTAGAAAAAGGGAGATCTTCCTGTTCTAACAAGCTGAGAAATAGCCCAAATCAGAAAGCACTCACAGCCAGGCTCAAGGGCCAATTCCTGAATAGATCAAGATTTCAAGTAGAAGCAAGAAGTGTGTTATCGCACATACCTGTCTGGATCCCTGGGGGCCAACTGCCCCCATGTTAATTGGACTGGGACCCTGGATTCCAGTAGGCATAGGGCCTCTAGGGCCAGGGACTGGGCCCCTTGTATCCATACTTCTGGCCTCTATCCCTCTGACTTCCATCGCGCGGGCCTCCATCGCGCGGGCCTCCATCGCGCGGGCCTCCATCGCACGGGCCTCCATCGCACGGGCTTCCATTGCACGGGCCTCCAATCCTCTGGCATCTAATCCTCTAGCCTCCATGGCTCGTGCCTCCATTCCTCGTGCGTCTATGCCTCGGGGATCTCTTCCGCCTGTAAAGAAAGTTGTAAGAAAACCACTGTGTAGCTGCTCATCTTCACAGCGAAAAGAACCAATGATCAAAGAAAGAAATCTATTCCTTTGGTCACATCTCCCCCCAACTACAGGTGACCCTTGAACAAGGTGAGGATTGGAGTACTCCCCCAAAACCTAACTACTCGTAGCCTACTGCTGATTGGAAGCCTCATCAATAATAAAACAGCTGATGAACACCTGTTTTGTATGTTGTATGTATTATGTTCTGCATTCTAATAACAAAGTAAGCTAGAAAAAAGAGAATGTTATTAAGAAAACCGTTAAGGAAGAGAAAATACATTTAGTACTGCACTATGTTTATAACAAAAAATCAATGTCTAAGTGGACCTATGCAGTTCAAACGTGTTGTTCAAGGATCAACTGTAAACAAGACTGCTTTTGCTTTCTCCTTCCCAGTTTTACAGGTTTGCAGATAAACCTTAAAAATGTTTGCCAACCCCACTGCCCCAGCCTTCTTTATCCCAGATTAGAACCTAAGACAGCTGGGTTTATTATCGGCCCACAACTACCAGGCGGCCTTGTGACATGGTCTCCCCTTACCTCTGCCATCCAAGGGTGGACCCCTCTGATCTAGCATGGGTCCTCTTGGCTCTGCCATTAGAGGTCTGGGCTCAGCTAATGGCCCTCCCCTCATCTCATGTGGGGGTGGGCCACGGCTGTCATGGCCAGGGACATGGTGCATGGGTGGACCCTGGTGAGGTGGTCCCAGGTAACCTCTAGAGATGGAGAAAAATGTGATATTTTAAAACAGAACAATAAAAGAAATGCCAAGCAGAAGATCAGTAAGTTAAAAAAAAAAGAACCGATGCAAACATCAGTCTACAAATGCTAAGGAGAATGAACTGAATAGGCAGAAAAAAAAAAGCTATGGAGATACAAATGCATGTATTCTAGAATTTCATATTTGCTCAGGGCACTCATAATTAAGGAGAAGGTAACGGATATTCCATTGTATAGAACGAGTATGTAGTACAGCGCTTAAGAACGTGGGTTACTGCATGGGTTCAAATCTAGGCTTTATCACTTATTAGCTGTGTGATCTTGGGCACATTTAGTTAACTTCTCTATGCCTCGGTTTCTTCATCTGTAAAACAGGACTGATATTAGTGTCACTCTCACAGGTCTGTTGTGTGGATTTAATGAGATGAGCTAAGTAAAGTACTCACAGCAGAGTCAGAGGCATAATCCCCATTCATATCAGTCATCATGATCTTATTATTACTGCTACTGTTGATACTGCCACTACCGATAAGCAATATAAGTTTTTCCTGTTTAGACATGTGCTAGAATTTCCAGTTTCTAAATATGACTTGGGTAACCACAGTTCGTTCATTCAAAATGACAAACTCAACAGATACAGTTCTTCCCAAGGAGAAGTGCTTCCTTAGTCTTAGATAGTGGCCACGTATATTTATTTATCTGTTGAAGTAGGCAAAGAGGTACAGAAAGATGGTGTTCTCGGACCAAGGGAAAATTTGGATTCCCCCAGTCTTTTCCTTCTTTGTTAGTGCTCACCTAGGCTCTACCTCTCCAGTTACAGAAAGTAAAGTGCCTCCACGTGGGTCATTTGGGGCGTCTCCTAATAGACCTCGAGGAGTTGGGACGTTGGCAGGCAAGGGCCCACGCTGCATAGCGGCTCTGGGGTCCTGCATCGGCACTGACAGGGAAACAAACAGGGAGTTACTGTTGTGAAGGACACATCAGGAAACAAGAAATGACTCTATATACCACTGACAACATAATTCAGACACCTGAGAGCGGGTGAAACCTCACCACAGCAGACTCCTCTTGCAGCTCAAGAACAGAAGCAGGGTGTAGGCAGCATCTGTGCCATGTCAGAGGTATGGATGGAATTATATAACGAACAAAGTGGGGAGCAACCTGCTGAGGACTAGCACTGCAACCTGAAGAACCTTATGCTCCTGGTTTTCCTTAAAATCAATCTTAGTTCAAGGACCAGAGTCACAAAAGAGAGGTAGGGTCTTGGCATATGGGAACACTGCCATGGCTCTGCAAGAACCTGCTGTCTCCTTACAGACTGCTATTCCATCCAAGCCTCCTGACACCAGTAGGGAGGGAGTACAGCCTCGGACAGATGCCCATATCATCCATGTTCTCTGCCCTGTGTGAAGAGGTCAATCTTAGGCTTGTGGCCCCAACAGGAAAAAAATTTAAAAACAAAAGCCCAAAACGCTACCCTTCTGGGTTCCGAACGTGAGGATGACTGCCAAGCAGCCCTTGTCCTCTCAACGTCCCACCCTGAACACCACGAGCAAAAGGAAACCCGTAGATACAATGGGTACCTTGAACTCGCTCAATTGATGCAGGCCCGGCGGGTCCCACGGGCGAGTGCTGTAGGGTTCCTAGGTGAGCAGTAAGTTCAAAAGAAGAAAGAGCAGACACTTAAATAACTTACACGCACGCAAGCATGCACACACCCACACACAGAATCATACACATACAGACGTTCAAGATTTACACATGTAAGTTAAAAAGCCAAGAGTGCTACAAAGTCTTCCTAAACCATAGTAGCTTCTTTGGGATCTGAAACTATTCTGCTGTAATGAGACTGCCTCCTAAAGTGAAACAGGTGGGCCACTGATTTTGTTCAGCCACTTTGAATTTCCACCTCTGCTACTACGGAGTCCATCTAAATCTCCTTATACCGTTACAAGAAATAAGGCAGTTCTGAATCTCTAGTTAGGCAAAGAACATAGACGTATTTTCATAAGCAAATCATGAAAGACACTGTATTGAATCTGGAAGGCAAGATTTATTCTGAAAGAAGTGGACTGTGCTGTTTTTGCTGTAGTTTATTACACAAAAATCTCTGTGGGAAATGCAATGAATGATCTTTAGACAAAGAAAGAGAACATCACTCCTCAAAAAATATTCTGCCACTACGAGTCTCTGGTGATAAGCAAACACCATGACAACAGCAGACAAAGACTAATGAAATGAAAAGAGAGCCAACACTACACAGAGGTGGCAGAAGCAAAGAAGTGTCTTCTTAAACTAATCTCACTGTCTCCTTTTACCATTACAAATGTGCATAAGAAGCATGGATTCCAGGAAAAGAAAGAAAACTGGGTACAAGTGGAAAGATTCTTGCTTCCTCTGCTGAGTACTGAACAAAAACTATAAAAGAACACTCATCTCCTTTACCTCTTTAAGACACACCTGATGTATCTTCAAAACTCTAGTTATTTCCCTTTGCTAACTTTGGACCCAGAGAGGTGATAAGAACTACAGCAGGAGAGAAGAGGTCTTTTGGAAATACATATTAAACAGCTCAAGTTTGATTGACTGATGGCTTGGGAAGAAGAAAAATATGATTGGAACCCCAATGCCTTCTCCCTAATGCAGCAATACTCTGGGTACACGTACAATCTACTGAGAGTGGTCAAGGGCATTGGGGCACAACAGCACAAAACCACAGGCTACTTAGATGAGGCATTTGGTCAAGAGCTTGTTCCACTGTCAAACATCTGATCAGATGATCCATTCTGTCACTTTAGCACCCAACCTTAGTGAACAAACTGTAGACAAGAAAATATAGGACAGAGGCCTTTATCTTAATATTTTGTTTTTAAAAAATGGGTTTCATTTATAGGCCATGTGCTAAGAAGTAACTTAAGCTTCTCTGTGCTGCCCAAAGCTGTTCTTTCTCATCATGATGACAACATGACTGAGAACAGAAGACACTGAAGAGTGTTTGTGGAAGTTAATAGAGGTGGTAAGGATTTTCAGAAAGAGTTAAGATTTTAGTCAGAGACTTCAGCACCTTGCTCTGCCACTTACTAGCTAGGAGAGATGAGTGCCCCAAGTCCTGTCCACATTACTCAGCAGTATTTACTTACCATGTGCCCAGGAAGAAATAACTTAAAACTCTGAGCTTAAACTGAGATTTAAAGGTTAAATCTCTTTATCTGAATACTGAGGTGCTGCCCCCTAACTCACACAGTTGTTGATGAAAATTAAAGTGCCTGGCCTACAGCATGTGCTCAACTTTACTGTTAGTTCCTTCTGTTTTCTCACTCTCTCCTCCTAATGTTTTCAACCAGACCACTGCATTTTTCTGTTTCTTCAAACTCTAGCAACAGAGGGAAATAATTTGGAGATTCTGGAGTGGCCATTGTTGTGGTAGCCAGTGTTACGGCCACAGTGTAACATACCCTTACCAAGTAGGCTTCACAGACCTCTGATCCCCTCCCAGTCTTCTCTGTGGTTTAGATTAGGCTTCTACATGTTATATGCTCATTATTAAAATTCCTTAATCAGTCAACAGATATCCACAGAGTGAGAGAGGACATGTCAGCAGTGTCATTAGATTATTATGAAAAGGTGACATAAACAGAAACAAAAGATCCATCTGCTTTATTGATTCTTGTAGAGCTGGGCTCTGAGCCACTAGATGGAAAGTCTAGACTAACACTGTGCAACAAAATACTCTGCAATAAGGGAAATATTATCTATCTGCCATATCCAGTATGTGGTGCCATAACCACATGTGCCACTGAGCACTTGCAATGTGGCTAGTGGGAACGAGGAACTGAATTTTAAGTTCTACGTAATTTCAGTGAATTTAATATTCAAACAGCCACATATGGTTAGTGGCTGCCATATTAAAACGGTGCAGATATACAACATTTCCAGGTCTAGTCCACATTAACCAGATACTAGTACTTATTTACCTTGTCCCCGCTCAATGGACACTGGTCCACTTCCTGGCATTCCAACCTGGGCTTGCATTCCTCCTAGAAGATAAAGAGAAGGAAAGAAAAACACAAATTAGGACACTGGAGAAAAAATTAGGACAGTGGCTGAGTTAACAAATTCCCTTCTGCCTCACAGGCAGAAAACTACAAAAAAATATCATAACTCGCACTAAACAATGCAGTTATACAGAAGGTAAAGTTTGTTAGTAAACTCTAGGGTTCAGTGATAGAAAAGTGAGTTAAATGAGAATATTTAATCACCCTGGTTACTAAAACCTTGGCAGAAATTCTGTGATATAGAACAATGGCACTTGCCCACATAACTCCTCTCAGAGGAGGCAATATTGTTTCCAAGGTATTTTGTAAATTTGTGGGTTTTTGTTGTGAAAAGATTTATGGGGCATGGCTGGCATTTCATGAGAAGCCAACAGGGATACTAGATGAAATCCAATGTCTGAGATAGTCCTCCATAATCCAGAATTATCTTGTCTTGCAAAATTTTCAGATGTCTTCGTGAACATTAGCACAAATGAAAATCTGTTTACATTCATCTGAACTTAGAACCTAAGTCTGCTGTACTTGTAAACAAAAAAGCTCTTTTACCCTATTTATATCTGTACACATATAAACTGAATTCTCCAGAAATACAATTACTGAGTCAATTACAGGTATTGCATTTTGTTTCATTAAGAACTTTACCAAAAGTTTCCACCATCTGAGAAAATCATAACACTAATGTCAACAGTCCCTCTGGTATTTGAGTTGCGAAAACACCATACCTGTATCTGTCTGCATCTGTAGCTTTTACACTGATGGCATAGGAGCAAACATCTGACTGCTACCTTTTGGTTTCTTGTCTAGTTGTGCCTGAACACATGCATATTAAAAATATTCTTTATATTATAGGTTTATTTCCTTTTATTTCTCCTTTATATTATAATAAGGGCATTATATTTTTTTGGGAACTCATGTTAAGTAAGTTATATCTGTGTATTTCATTCCAGGATAGTAAAAAGTCATTATGAAATACGTTATGAAAATGTTATGAAAAGAGCCTGCAGGGTCTAACAGGGTTGAGAACCACTGCTCTACCCTAACCAGTTGGGATAGTATTCTTTGCTATACAAAGAATAATTACGTACCACAAGTCCTTGTCTCATCCTTTCTATATAGCAATAATTCTCTTTTCCTCAAAGGAACTATATATATATGCTGTATGTAAGAAGAAAAGACGAGCTGCTGTTTGCAGTTCATTAATACTTAACTAAAAGATCAAGTACACATCATATTCTCTCTTTTTAAGATTTTATTTATTTATTTGGGAGACAGTGAGCATGCGTGAATGGTGGGGAGGGGCAGAGGGAGAGAGAGAAGCAGACTCCCTGCTGAGCAGGGAGCCCCGTGCAGGGCTCGTGCAGCTCAAACCCAGGACCCTGAAATCATGACCTGAGCTGAAGGTTGATGCTTAACTGACTGAGCCACCTAGGTGCCCCCACATTATATTCTCTTAGTCTGTTTAATATGCCAGGTACCGAAGAGCCATGGATTAAGAACCTGAACCTGTGCTAGCCCCATCCTTACTAAGTAACTGTGATTTTGAACAAGTGATTTGATAAAGTTAACATTTGCCCATGCTTACTCATCTGTAAAGTGAATGAGCTGGTTTAAACCAGTGGTTCTCAGAATGTGCTGCTCAGACCAGAAGTGTCAGTGTCACCAAAAATTGTTAGAACTGCAAATTCCAGGGCCTGACCTCAGACCTGCTGCATTACAAAGTCTGGCGGTGGGGACCAGCTTCTGCACTTTAATAAGCTCCTCAGGTGTTCATTAAAGTTTGAGAACTGCCGGTCTACAGAATTTCAAAGGTCTCTTCTAATCACAAACCATTCTATGATTTATTCAGACAATTCACTAAAACAATGTAAACATTTAGGATCTGAGGAAAGTGGTGGCAGAAGGACATATGGGCATAATTTCTCATATTATACACTATCACACGATGGCACTTTCACTTTCAGCTTCCCAGAAGTGGAATTGGTGGGTAAAAGGGTACATGGATTTTAAATGTGAGACTACTTTCTTAAAAGGCTAAAACATTTCACATTTCCAGTAACAAGTTATGATACCACTTTCCCCACTAATAGTGTCATCTCTCTTTGAAACTTTTGCCAGATTGATGGGTTTAAGTAAAGTGAGATCCTGTAATTTAATTTGTAAGTCCATGACTACAAATGCATTTGTCTTTGTTGCCATTTGGATTTGCTCTTCTACGAAGCGCCTACTCATTTTCTTTGCCTTCTTTGCTACTAGGCTGTTTCCCCTTCTCACCAACTGTCAATGAGTTTTGTACAGGGTATTTCAAACATCTGATTGATGTTCTAATAACTTCAGAAATAGAAATGCTACAGACTTATAAAAATATCACTTTAAGTTCCTTTCACACCGACTTTCAACTTCTATATTTATTAATTTCCTGTTTTTGGTATCTTGTTTCTTTATAAAAAGTATTTTCCTAGTTCTTTTAAAACTAGTACTTAGAGTTCCTTTATTCTTTAATAACACAGGCATTTGAAGGTATTCATTTTAAGTACTGTTTCCCATACTTTTTTGTATACTTTTTGTTGCCTTTTGGATAATTTATCAATCCCTTCTTTATTTCCCCTTTAATTCAAGGATTACCTAGTGTTATGTCCCTTATTTTTCCAAGTAAATGTTATTTTCAGTCACATTGTAATTACTTCTCTAATTTTACTGATTTATAATAAGAGAACATGGCCTGAAAAATCTCTACGTTTTAAACTTGTTTTTATTTTATGCCCAAGTATGTGTTTTTTAACTGTTCCAAGGTTTTTGGGGGCAGAAGTGTATTCTTTAGTCAAAAGACCTAAATCTCCCATAATAAGTCATGCTTACTGGTTCCACTACTTTATTCACTATCTTTTACTTATTTTTTATCTATTAGTACAAAGGTACTCAAAGTGTGGTCCACAGAAATGTTGATCCACACACTGTATGTTAACAATTAATGACACTGTAAGTACAGAAATGGAGAGCACTTAGAAACTTTTACAGCAGTTTGATGCTTCTGTGACATCTAATTGCATGATCAGGGCACCTGTGTCACTGAACAGACTACAGATGACTTGGGTGTTTTTCAACTCACATTATGAGCTGCCTATGTCATGGGTTGCATACTTGTCATGTGTAGTGGGGCCACATTTCGACTTGTGATATTTTAAGTTTTTTTTTTCAAAGATTTAATTTATTGGGGCACCTGGGTGGCTCAGTGGGTTAAGCCTCTGCCTTCAGCTCAGGTCAGGATCTTAGGGTCCTGGGATCGAGCCCCACATCAGGCTCTGCTCAGCAGGGAGCCTGCTTCCCCCCACCGCCCCCCACCTGCCTCTCTGCCTACTTGTGATCTCTGTCATATACATAAATAAAATCCTTAAAAAAAAGAATTTATTTATTTGAGAGAGAGAGCTAGTAAGAGCATGAGAGGGAAGAAGGTCAGAAGGAGAAGCAGACTCCCCACGGAGCTGGGAGACCAATGCAGGACTTGATCCTGGAACTTGATCCCTGAACTCCAGGATCATGATCTGAGCCGAAGGCAGTCGCTTAACCAACTGAGCCACCCAGGCACCCTTATCTTAAGGTTTTTAAATTAGGCACCCATAACTCAAAAATGTATAAAATACAATACATTGAAAGATATTTACTCTATAGGTAAATAAAAATCATGAATTTGCTGAAATTTCTTTTAAAATCCCTTCCTCTATTCCTTGTCAACTTAGCTCTGTAGACCAGTTTCTCTACAAAACAGAACAATTGAGATTCAACACTGAGTAGTGTTGCAGTCAATCTAACCCAGATTAATTAACAAGAGGAAAATATGTTGCATAAAAACTTAAAATATTGATATCTATCATGTGTTCATATAGGAGTTTCATATAGGGAACCACTATTTCACTCAGTAACTCTTAGTTATGATTGTTGAATGACAAAGAACAAAAGCATAATAGCAATACCCATTAATAATTTCTACATACATACTTGCAATCAAAATGTACCGTTTCAAAAATTCTTTTTTCCTTTTGTTGTTTGGTCTGATTATATTTAATGAAATGCAATTTCATATCTATTAAATATAGTAAAACAAATGTCACTATGTGTTTGGTATCTTTTTTTTTTAATGTGCCTTTCAGCCTAATCTAAGTCTCTGGCTTTTGGTGGGAAAATTCAGTCCATTCACATTTAGCAGAGTAACGGCTACGTGAAACTTTATTCCTTTCTCTTTACTCTACGTTTATTATTACTTACTTCACAATGTTGTTTTCTTTTCCCTCTATTTGCTGGCTTTGTTGGCTAGTTTCCATTCATTCCATTTCCCCCTTGCTAATTTGGAAGTTTTACTTCACTTTTCCATTTTGTGGTCCTTTTCCCTTCTCTCTGTGTATAAGAGACTAACTATTCCCTCCATCTAGGATATATGCTTCCTAGCTATGTAATTTTATATCAAGATCTCATTACCACATAATAATTTGGTGACATTATACCATTTGCTACAACAAAACTTTAGCAAAATACCAAAATGGTGGAGACTGTAAAGGAAACATACCTCCAGGAGCTAAGGAACCAGGACCAGGCCCTGTTACAGCTGCTGGTATCTGTCCTGGTGCCGGAACTCCAGCCTGCATAGACGCTTGCATCAGAGGAGGTGCACCATTGACATGCATTCCACCCTGAACAAAAATAAAAACAAAAATAAAAAAAATAAAAAAATATAAAGAATAAAAATGGTATGTATATGCCTTTGGACAACACACATGAGCCTGGTTATATAGAACACAATTAAGATGGACCATGTTCTCTAAAAGCAGACACTGACAGGTCTGACCTGTGTTGTGAGGCCATATGTGGCACCTACGGTTGACTTCAAGTTGTTTACCTCTACCAATCTGAATGGTAAAAATGGTAGATTACTGTTCTTTTTGTTTACGTTTACCCTGAGGTTGAACACTTTTATTATGAAAAGCTCCAGATATATAAATTGTATAGAAAAGAAAATAAACATACAGTTTAGGAAATAAATATATTATATACACTTGAAATCTGCCCTCTGGTCTTCCCTAACTGCATCCTGTGTCCCCTTCTTAAGACAACCACTTAAGAATTTTTACAGACATTTAAAAATTGCATGTAAATCATTACGTACTAAACATATTTGCTACTCATTCAACATTTTTTTGGGATCTGTGCAAATACAAATATGCCATATTTTGGGAAGGCTTCTACATTCACTCATTTTCACTTCTGTAACTTTTGAGTTACCTGTGTTACACCATGTATCCTAGTTCCTCTTTACTACTATATGGAATTAGGTTTTTGAAAGTCATTCATGGCGACAGGTGTAATTTATTTAACTGCTATAGAGTATTTCACTGGATAAATATACAACATTTTCCCCATTATTCCACTGATGTACATTTAGGATGTTTTAACCTTTCACAATTATAATGTGGCAATAAACATTCTTGAACGTGACCAAGGACTCGTAATCGGCCGGTTGTCTGTCATGTGTGTGGCATATACTTTTTCCCAATTTGTCATTTATCTTTGGGGTTTATTTCTATTTCTCTATACAGAAATTTTTCAGTTTTCAAATGTACTGATTTTCTATGGCTTCAGTTTTGTGTCATGCTTGGCAAGCAAGCTTTACTTTTTTCCATTGGTAAGGAGATGTAAGAATGCCAACCTCATACAATTACTGTAAGTCCTAGATGAGATAATGGATGTAGAATAACAAAGCGCCAACCATAGTACCACACATGCACATAAATACCAAAATTAGCCTATATATAAAAGGACAGGGGCCCCTGGGTGGTTCAGTGGGTTAAAGCCTCTGCCTTCAGCTCAGGTCATGATTCCAGGGTCCTGGAATCGAGCCCTGCATTGGGCTCTCTGCTCAGCAGGGAGCCTGCTTCCCACCAGCCCCCCACCGCCGCCTGCCTCTCTGTCTACTTGTGATCCCTGTCTATCAAATAAATAAGTAAAATCTTAAAAAAAAATAAAAGGACACACATGAAGGATCGCTTTGTTTCACAAACTTGGCACCAAATCTATGTTCATTCAGATGCCATGTACTCTGCAAAATGAAAACTGCTTTTATGCCTGGGAACTGAAATTATCATCTTCAGCTCCTGACTGTTCTTCTTTCAGTATATCTTCCTAACATGAAAATGGCATTCAAAACATGCAAAAGAAACGTTATAGGAGATAAAGCCCTACCAAAGCCTGGGCCTGAGGGGCCTGAGGATTCTGTTGGTTCATTGACACAGTGGATCCTGAGCCAGGCCCAGCACTGTGGACTGGCTGAGGGTTGCCTGCAATCAGTGTTGGGATATTTGTCTGGCGATGCAGGATTTTCTAAAAAATGAAAAGACAAATCTATGAGTTGTCTGTTTAACAAGGCAATCAGGCAGTTCCTACCCCACTCAAGGTATGCCATGGTGTTTCCATAAACAAATAAGAAGCACTCACCAGAGCAATCTCTGGATCCACAATTCTCATCACTACCTGCGCTTGTAGCAAAGCATAAGCCAGCTGAGGGTTCTGAAGCAACATGTTCCGTGCTTCCTGGGGACTATTCTGGACACAAAGCTGGGAAGATAAAGAGATTCATCATCAGGTTCAATACTTAATACTTAGAAATTAATAGTGATTTAGAGCCATTCTCATCTGAGAAATATAATACTCAAGAAGCTTTTTAAGCTATCATCGGTTTTTGTATAGCACACAAAATTTCGGTCATGACAGGCAAGAGAAGGAAGAGGCATTTCAAATACCATAATACCACCGTTTAGGAGAAAAGCCACATCTGAAGATCTACATCTGATATCTATGGGCCACAAAAAGCCAGATTGTATAGTTGTGTTTGTGTGTAAAAAATGGAAAGCTCTTTGCACAAAATATAAAATATGCTGTGCACATATGGCATATCGAAGGTGCAAGAAATGGTGGTCAACAGGCACACCTTATATTTGAGTTCAGGGAATCATTTCCATTCACTTGATTAACTCCTCAAAAATTTGATGTGATTTGATTTGTTCTTAACCTAATGCCTCCTCCCACCTTCATTTGTTTCATCAGCTCAAACATCTGCTCTGGTGGAAGACTGGCAACTGCTTTGCTAATGGACTCAGGGGCATCCTCAGGACTGATGGTCTCTCCATAAGGTGACTCAATGACAGGGGCACCAGTGCCAAGGCCTGATCGGGAAGAAAGTACAAAAAGTTAAGGAGGCAAAATTATGAGCTAAATCATTTCAAGTATCTACTTTCCAGGGCTGCTTCCTTTCCAGGACCTGTTATAACTTTAAATTATCTGGAACTGAGAAGTAAGTGATCTGCAAGTCTCTTATTTCTGTAGAGGAAAGTGACAGAAGTATTTTCTGTTCTCAGAAGAAAGCTGGGACTAGGATCACATAGGTAGACAATGTTAACCTAAATTAGGGATGAGGCATACTGATTTCCTTTTGACAAGTCATTAGAAGCGAAACAAGAGATAAGGATGCTAATCTTAAAAACAAAATAACAGAAAAAGATGCTAATTAAGAATGGAATTCCTGATCTGGTACCTCATGAAAAAAGCCAGGATGCCTTAGTAATCCCACCAATTACAGATCTGACAAACAGTTATAGCAGCGGTTACCTAATGACATAGTTCGTGCAACTAATGGCTTGGTGAGCCTGAATTCATCTTCAACTGTAAATCAACTCCTTTGTAACTAAAGGACTTCTAAAGTCAACTTTACCTTGTTTCTCAAAGATATATACTTCCCTAATGCAGGAGCCTCAACGGGGTCAAGAACCTAAGTGGCTAACCATTTTAACAGGTGCTAAAACATATCACAAATGGAAACATCTTCATCGTTACATCTTTACTAATTCATGTTGCATACAAATCAGGTTTATACTCACTCTTCAGCTCTTCTTTGTTCTTTTCACTGGCAGCATTGTCCACCCGAAGTGCTCTCCCACTGAATTCACGCCCATTCAGGTTTCGCATGGCACTAAGTGCTGTCTCCTGGTCTTGGTATTCACAGAAGCCATAACCCTTTGGCTTTCCCGTCTCCCTATCATATACCAACCTGGAGAAGCAGAACCAAGTATCAGGCACAAATGTTACATATACATAGGGTTCTTGCTAACATGGGCATGTTCTAATTTGGTCCACTCTAAGACAAATAACTTTATCACTTTGACTATTTCACTGAAATATTTTTTAAACATTTTAAAATAAAAATATGTATCTTTTAGTAAGGGCGCCTGGGTGGCTCAGTTGGTTAAGCGACTGCCTTTGGCTCAGGTCATGATCCTGGAGTCCCGGGATCAAGTCCCACATCAGGCTGCCTGCTCAGCAGAGAGTCTGGTCTGCTACTCCCTCTGACCCTCCTGACTCTTATGTTCTCTCTCTTTCATTCTCTCTCTCAAATAAATAAATAAAGTTAAAAAAATGTATCTTTTAGTAAAAATAAATGTGAATTGTATGGTATGTGAATTATACTGGAATAAAGCTGTTACAAACAGAAGGATGCATGTGAAAAATCACCAGTAAAAACCTTGCTATTATTGCTAAAGGCCAAATTTGTGATTTTAAAGAAAACCCCAAGTAATCAAAGGAGAATCTCACCTGAAACTAACAACGGGTCCAACCTCAGAAAAGATGTCCTTTAATTGCTCTTCAGTAGCCTCATATGGAATGTTCCCCACTATGGAAGAAAATAGACAACAGATTAAAAGTCTGAGTATGTAACCTATTTCCCCTGTGAGAAAGTAAAACGAATCAGTACTTACATCATTGAAAATGTAACAACTACCTCAAAATAGTGTTCCCACACTGCTAGTTCCATGGTATTTCAGATAACATTTCAATGTTGTCTGCTGACTTTAATTACAAAACAAACTACTAAGATTAAATATAAAAGGCACAGGCACTTCAAAATATCAGTTCTCAGACTTATCTTACAAGTGTTATGATTTTCCTTACCTTCGGTGAAAATAAATACTTTGGCATTGGTATTTACTTGAAGATCTGCAAGTCTTATCGACAACTACTAAAAATACCAATGTATTTGATATTTTAAAAACTGGCATATTATTTCTATATTTCCACACATACATACAAACTCAAAGAATAACCATGAATGTAGTGAAGGATGTTTAAAAATTATTCTGAACTGTTTTGTTATGGCCATTCCATTCCAAAAGGTGCTTTAAAATCACCACACGGACTTCAAACAAACAAACAAACAAACAAACAACTTATTTCCAGGCACCTGGGTGGCTCAGTGGGTTAAGCCTCTGCCTTCGGATCAGGTCATCTCAGGGTCCCAGGATCAGGTACCCCCGGGATCAGGTCCCCCCCATCGGGCTCTCTGCTCAGCAGGGAGCCTGCTTCCCCCCCACCCCCTGCGCCTCCCTCTCTGCCTACTTGTGATCTGTCAAATAAATAAATAAAATATTTTAAAAAATTTAAAAAACCTTATTTCATGTGAAAAGATTACACAGAATGGACCTGATCCTCTTTAAAATTTCTTCGACGAGATCTATTCGTTCATTCATTCATTTACAATCCACTTTAAGACTCTAGGTGGCCACTACCAGTATCGAACCAAAATGTTACAAGTAAAAAACAGAGGCTGAAAGTCCTTATGAGAGGGCGGGAAATGGACACAGCGTTCTATACACTCATCATATAATCTGTATTCTGGGACAGGGAGTGAGTAGTACGGGACAGTTGCCAGGCGCCCTCGATTCTAGATAATAATAGAAGCTCATGAAAGGAGAAACGCATAGAAACTGAACGCTAGTTTAACTTTCTCAGCCACATCATGAAAAGGCTGTGAGACCTCAGGGGAAGGGAGCCTCACTTTGCCCGCGAGTCCACTAGAGCGGCCGTTCCACAAGACGGGCAGGTAGAGCTGCAAGCCCGACCCATCACCAGCTCCTGCAGGAATTCATTAGGTGCAGGGGGTATTCCTTGCTGCTCCTTGTCTCTTTCTATCCCTCCCCGACGCTTGGCTCCACGAATTCCTCTTACCGAACACCGAACGCAGAGAACGATCCACCGCGGGGTCTCTCACAGTCAAACCCGCCATCGCTGTCTTCCGGCAGCTTCCGGTGCGCCAGAGCACACTTCCTTACGGCGCCTGAGCTCTGCGCTAAACACGCTTCAGTACGGGCGCGTAAGCCGGAAGCACCTGGGCAGGGCGCGCACATGGCCCCTCCCCTGACGTCATTGCGTCCGCAGCTGGCGCGCCCTCCATCCCCAAGAGCTAACCACTCCGGGCTGGTTTGCGACCGGAATATAACTCGGTTCCGATTTAGGCTTGTGCGGTCCTAGACTAATCTGCAGGATTTTAGTCTGCAGAGTTCCTTATTATTCATTTTTGCTTAGACCAACACGAAGAATCATCGGCCACAATGAAGATGGCGGCAGCCGCTTTACCGTGGTAACGGGGAAGTCATTTGCTAACAACCTTGGCCCTTACATTTTAGTTCCTCCCTATGAGGGAAGGGAAGTGCTTGGTCCCGCCCCAGCGGCGTGCCGGTGAGTTTGTAAAAGCTGGAGTGTACCAAGCAATATGAGGAAAGAGAGTCGCGGCAGTCTAGTGAATGAGAGAATGAGGAGCGCTCAGATTCAAGGCATCACCATAGCCAAGGAGATGGGGAGGTAAAGGGAGAACAGACTCCTGTCTGTTCTTGTGTAGCCCCCCTCAGCTCCTTATGTTTGGTGGTGGTGAAAGAGCGAGCTGGCGGAGGGCATAGGCTAGCGGGGTATCAGAAAAGATCATTGATTGGGGTACGCAGCAAGCGGCTAAAGTAGCATTTGAACTCAGATTGCTTTGGTTCGGAGACTGAATGTTTAACCCCCGTAGCTGTTGTCTCCCAGTATAACTGCGGGAATATGAGCGACTCGGCATATTTTATTACCATTTTTGGAAGAGAACTTAGAGCATTTGACTTGGTGATACTGGGTCGGTGGCTCATAACAACGAACCATTCAGGAATAGGTTGAGGCACCTATAACCAGGGACTTGTGCTGTCATCAGTCATTTGTAGAGAATGGATTGTTGGTCTCTCCATCAACCCTACTCCACTGGTTATAAAGGAGGAGGTGTGTGCAGGGGATGGTTTCTAAGCTTTTGCTTTTGTATATTTGGGTTTAATTTATAGGCCCTGTTCTAGTGATTCCTGCCTCAGTGCCTGTTGTCCCTCAGAGTTGTTTTCCTTGACTGCAACACTCTCAGAGTGATACATATCTTTAGCCTATAGGTTATAACAAAATGACGGCAGAAGGTAGGGGGTCTCATGGTGTTTTTGTAGGTGTCATGACTGAACCTCAGTTAACAATATCAATGCAGTATGAAGAGGTGTGTGAGGGGGAACTAGGAAAAATGCATTTCTACAAAAGTGGGACTATACTTAGAATAAGTGTTATTTGGGGGATTTGCATAGAAGAGAAAGGATACCTGGTGGAGAATCAAAGAATTTGGGAAACCATAGTCAAAATTTATGGGGCATTGGCAGAAAGTTTCATGGAAAAGTCCCAAGTTCTTATTTAGTCTTGTTGACGATACCAAGAATCTTGGCCAACGTAAAAGTGAAGCAAGTGAAGATATTCAAGATTGTGAGGGCACACTTGGCCATAGCAGTCAAACTTAAAAGGCTGTGGTAAGTACTACTTCATGTTTGGCCGACATTTAAGTTCCTCAGAGCCATGGAATAAAATCCCTCTTTGGTCTCCAGGGAATATCTGCAAAGGCAGCAACTCCTGGATATACATCATTGCATGAAAAAGATTCCAGATGGCACTGTAGCATTACTCATGTTAGGAGAAATTCTCAAGGAACAACACCTGTAATAGCTAAGGAAACTTGGGGAGCTCAGAGAGCACCTGAAGGGCCACACAGATCCTGGTCAGTATCTGGGTGTAGGTTCCAATTGGCTTGCTTTCTAGAAAGAAACATTACTCCTACGTTTTGCACTACTGTATTATCACACCTGTTCTGCAGTAATATTTATACTTTCTGTGAGTTTTTGAGGGTTCAGCTCTGAGGCTACAGTATAGACAATTGTGCAGTCCATTGAAGGTGGTCATTCTGGTCTTTTGATTTTAGCATTTTCATTTTTTATTTCTTTTTTAAAAAAGATTTTATTTATTTATTTGAGAGAAAGTGAGCGAGAGAGTGAGCAGGGGCAGAGGAAGAGGGACAAGCAGACTCCCCTCTGAGCAAGGAGACCGACGAGGGGCTCCATCGCAGGATCCTGGAATCATGACCTGAGCTAAAGGCAGACACTCAACCAACTGAGCCACCCAGGCAAACTTAATTTTTTATTTCTTATCTCACTACTTTCATTCTTAGTTCAAACTCAATGAATACATTTCCTATATTCGTTTCCTAGAACCCTGAAGTTTCCTGATTGTTCACCTGCTCAAGGGCTGCCTTATGAGATACATTGTTTGGTAGTAGGCCAGGGAGTTAGCTGGTTAGCTGAATTGGAGGAAGATTTTCTTTGATCTTGGCAATGGCATGGTGATCTCTTGCTGCTAAATGAGGACTGCTTCCAAAGCAAGCATTGGGGAGAACTGGGTAAGAGGAGGAAGTCTCTGAGTTTTTTTTCTCTAGAATCCAATCAGGCTTGTCTAAAACTTGTCTTTTGGGGAGCCTTGTTCTTTTTCAGAACCAGAACTCTGGGAAACTATTGCAGTGATGTGTGGAATCCAGGGTTTAGCAAAACAAAGGTGGATATCACTTGTACCACACTAAAACTCCAACAGTGTGCTGCTGGGTGAACAGGGCTGGACAGAACATGCAGGTAATGGTATCAGGTTGGTGTAAACAGGGTGATAATGATTAAAAAGAGCTGGTATTTGTGAAGGGCTGTATCGATTACAAAGCTTTTCTACATAGATCTTCAGTCTCACAAAACCTGGGGGATTGTTTTAGTGTGCTATCTGTATTCTTTTATTATAGCAAAGTATGCATGACAAAATTTACCATTTCTTTAAAAGATTTTATTTATTTATTTATTTGACAGAGATCTCAAATAGGCAGAGAGGCAGAGAGAGAGAGAGGAGGAAGCAGGCTCCCTGCTGAGCAACAAGCCCAATGTGGAGCTCCATCTCAGGACCCTGGGATCATGACCTGAGCCGAAGGCAGAGGCTTTAACCCACTGAGCCACCCAGGTACCCCCAAATTTACCATTTTAATCATTTTCAAGTGTATAGTTCAGTGGCATTAAGTATATTCACATTGTGCAACCATCATCACTATCCATCTGCAGAACTTCTTTATTTTCCTAAATGGAAACTCCATATCCATTAAATATTAATCCCCCATTATTCTCTCCCACCAGCCCCTGGCAACCACCATGCTACTCTCTGTGTCTATGAATTTGACTACTTTAGGTACCTTATATAAGTGGAATCTTAACACTGTTTTTACTTTGTAACTGGTGTATTTCGCTTAGTGTAGTGCCTTCAAGGTTCATCTGTGTTGTAGCATGTGTTAGAATTTCCTGCCTTTCTAAGGTTGAATAATATTCCATTGTAGGTACACATGAAAATTTGTTTAGCCACTCGTCCGTTAAAGGACAATTGTGTTACTTCTACCTTTTGGCTGTTGTGAATAATGCTATGAACATAGGAGTACAAATACCTGTTTGAGTTCCTGCTTTGAATTCTTTTGTGTATGTATCCAAAAGTGTAATTGCTAGATCATGTGGTAATTCTTTGTATAATTTTTTGAGAAACTGCCATACCATTTTCCACAGTGGCTGCATCATTTTACATTCCCATCAGTAGTGCTTGGGAATTCCCATTTCATCCTTACCAGCATTTGTTATTTACATTTTTATTTTTGGAGTAATAGCCACCTTAATGAGTGTGAAGTGGTATTCCATTGCATTTTTTAAAAAAAGATGTTATTTACTTATTTGAGAGGGCCAGAGAACACTGAACAGAGAGCCAGACATGGGCTCGATCACAGGACCCTGGGATCATGACCTGAGCCAAAGGCAGATGCTTAACTGACTGAGCCACCCAAGTGCCCCTGAAAAGGATAGTGATTAATTCTCCTGTAAATGTTTGGTAGAATTCACCTGTGAAGCATGTGGTTGTAGACTTTTTTTGCTGGGATTTGATTATTGATTGAATATTGTTATTAGTAATTGGTTTGTTCACATTTTCTACCATTTCTTCATTCAGTTTTGGAAGATTGTATATTTCCAAGAACTTTTCTATTTCTTGTGGGTTGTCCAGTTATTGGCATATAATTTTTTGTAGCAGCCTCTTAAAATCATTTGTATTTCTCTGGTGTTGATTGTAACTTCTCTTTAATTTCTGATTTTATTTGAGTTTTCTTTGTCTTTTTCTTGATGAGTCTGGCTAAAGGTTTATCACTTTTATCTCTTCAGAAAACCAGTGCTGAGATTATGCTGAATGAAGTAAGTCAAGCAGAGAGTCAAGTATCATGTGGTTTCACTTATTTGTGGAGCAAAAGGAGTAACACGGAGGACATTGAGAGATGGAGAGGAGAGTGAGTTGGGGGAAATCAGAGGGGGAGACAAACCATGAGAGATTGTGGATTCTGAGAAACAAACTTGGAATGGGGGTAGGGGTTTGAGTGAGTGTGGTGGTGGGTATTAAGGAGGGCACATATTGCATGGAGCACTGGGTGTGGTGCATAAATAATGAATTTTGGAACACTGAAAAAAAATTAAATTAAATTAAAAAAAAATGCAAAAAAACAGCACTGAGTTTCATTATATTTTTTATTGTTTTGGGGGCTCTATTTCATTTACAGTTGATTCTTTTAAAAAAAGTTTTTTAATTGTATTTATTTTTTCAAAGATTTTATTTGTTTATTTAATGCAGAGAGAGAGATCACAAGTAGGCAGAGCAGCAGGCAGAGAGAGAAGGGGAAGCAGGCTCCCTGCTGAGCAGAGAGCCCCGTGGGGGGACTTGGGGCTCCATCCCAGGACCCTGGGATCACGACCTGAGCCAAAGGCAGAGGCTTTAACCCACTGGGCCACCCAGGCACCCCATCATTTACAGTTGATTCTTTTTTTTTTTTTTTTTTTTTTTTAAAGATTTTATTTATTTATTTGACAGAGGAGAGATAACAAGTAGACAGAGAGGCAGGCAGAGAGAGAGAGAGGAAAGCAGGCTCCCTGCTGAGCAGAGAGCCCGATGCGAGACTCGATTCCAGGACTCTGAGAACATGACCTGAGCCGAAGGCAGCGGCTTAACCCACTGAGCCACCCAGGCGTCCCTTACAGTTGATTCTTGACCATTGTGGGGGCTAGGGGCCCCAACCCCTGCAGAGTCGAAAATCTGCATACAACTTTTTACTCCTGCATAGCTTTACTGATAGCCTGTTCTTGACTGGAAGCCTTACTGAGAATATAAACAATTGATTGACGCATATTTAATATGTATGTATTCTAATCTTACAATTAGGTGTGCTAAAGAGAAAATGTTATTACGAAAATTTTAAGGAAGGGGCGCCTGGGTGGCTCAGATGGTTAGGCATCTGACTTTGGCTGAGGTCATGATCTCCACGTCCTGGGTTTGAGCCCCACAGTGGGCTGCCCGCTCAACGGGGAGCCTGCTTCTCCCTCTGCCTCTGCCTTTCTCTCTGCTTGTGCTCTCTCTGTCTCTGTCCCTTTCAAATGAATAAATAAAATCTTAAAAAAATGATGATTGTGAGGAAGAGAAAAGACATTTACAGTACTATACTTTATAAAACAAAATCTGGGGGCACCTGGGTGACTCAGTCTGTCAATTTTCTGCCTTCAGCTCAGGTCATGATCTCAGGGTCCTGGGGTCAAACCCCACATTGAGCTCCCTGCTCAGTGGGGAGCCTGCTTCTCTCTCTCCCTCTGCCTGCTGCTGCCCCAGCTTGTTCTCTCTCTCTCTCTTTCCCTGTCAAATAAATAAAAAATCTTAAAAAACACACACACACACAAAACACAGTCTGTGTGAAGGTGGCCCTGCATAGTTCAAATCCATGCTGTTGAAGGATCAATTCTATTTTTTGCTCTGATCTTTTTTTTCCCCCTCCTTTCTATTAACTTTGGACTTTTTTTTGTTCTTTTTCTAGTTCTGTTAGGTGTAAAGTTAGATTGTTGGAGATTTTTCATACTGAGGTAGTCCTGTATTGCTGTAAACGTCTCTCCCTCTTTTTTAAAAAAAAATTTATTTATTTGACACAGAGACAGTGACAGAGGGAACACAAGCAGGGGCAGAGGGAGAGGGAGAGGGAGAAGCAGGCTCCCTGCTGAGCAGGGAGCTGGATGCAGGGCTCAATCCTAGGACCCTGGGATCATGACCTGAGCCAAAGCCAGACACTTAATGACTGAGCCACCAAGGCACCCTGTAAATGTCCCTTTTAAAGCTGCTTGGGCTGTGTACCAAGATTTTGAACAGCTGTGTTTCCATTTTCATTTGTCTCCATGTATGTTTGATTTCCTCTTTGATTTTGTAGTTGACCTGTTGGTTGTTTAGTACCATGTGTAGCCTCCACATGTTTGTGTTTTTCCCTTTTTTTTTTTTTTTGGCAATTGTTTTCTAGTTTCATACCACTGTGGTCTGAAAAGATATTTGATATGATTTCAGCCTTCATAAATTTATTGAGACTTGTTTTGTTGCCTAACATGTTATTTATGCTGGGGAATGTTCCATGGGCACATGAATGTGTATTTTGCTATTTTGGGGTAGAATGTTATGTATATATCTGTTAAGTCCAGCTGGTCTGGTGGTTGTTCAAAGCCATGGTTTCCTTATTGATTTTCTCTCTGGGTGATCAACTGATGTATGTGGGTGACCCCTGCTCTTATTGAATTACTGTTAATCCTTCCCTTTAGGTCTGTTAATACTTGCTTTATATGTTTAGGTGCCCCTCTATTGGGTACATATATCCTGTACCCAATTGTTATATCCTGTTGTCGGATTGATCCTTTATTGTGTAATGCTCTTTTTTGTCTCTCGTCATGGTCTTTGAAGTCTGTTTTGTCTGATCTCAGTATTGCTACCCTAGCTTTTTTTTTTTTTCGTCTCTGTTTACGTGGAGTATCTTTTTCTATTCTTCACTTTCAGTCTTTATGTATCTTTAAGTTTGAAGTGGGTCTCTTATAGGCAGCATATAGATGGGCTTTTTAAAATCCATTAATTTACCCTGTTTCTTTTGATTGGAGCATTTAGACCATTAACACTCAAAGTAATTATTGACAGGTGTGTACTTACTGCCATTTTTGTTTTCTGGTTGTGTTTATAGTTCTTTTCCTTTCATCTTGTTCTGTTCACTTGTGATTTGATGATTTTAGTATTATGCTTGATTCCTCTCTCTACTTTTTGTGTATCTATTTCAGGTTTTTTTTGTGGTTATCATGGGGTTCATATGTAACATTATATATACATATATATATGTATGTATATGTATATATGGCATATATATAGCCATCTGTCTTAAGTTGATGGTCACTTAAGTTCAAATACATTCTAAAGACACTACATTTTTACTTCCCGCACTCCACATTGTATGTATTATATGTCATATTTTATGTCTTTTTATTTTGTGCATCTCTTAGCCAACTTTTGTAGATACAATTGTTTTTACTGATTTTGTCTTTTAACCCTCATATTAGCTTTATAAGTGGCTGATTTACTACCTTTATTTGGTTTGCTTTTACCAGTGAAATTTTTTCCTTTCATAATTTTCTTCTAGTTGTGGCTTTCTCTCTTCCACTTCAGAATTCCCTTTGACACTTCTTGTAAGGCAGTTTTAGTGGTGATGTACTAGTATATTTTGTTTCTGGGAAACTATCTCTCCCTTAATTCTGAATGATAACCTTGTGGGTTGAATATTCTTGGTGGCAGGTATTTTCCTTTCAGTACTTTGAATATAACATGCCACTCCTTTCTGGCGTACAGATTTTCTACTAATATATCAACTTATAGGGTTATGGTATTTCCTTTGTACATAACTATTTACTTTTTTCTTGTTTTTTAAAAGATTCTCTTTATTTACTTATTTGAGGGAAAGGGAGAGGGAGAGGGAGAATCCTGAGCAGACTCCACCTGAGCACAGAGCCTGACACAGGGCTTGATCTTACAACCTTGAGATCATGACCTGAGCTGAGATAGAGAGGTGGATACCCAACTGACTCAGCCACCCAAGTGCCTCTAAGGATTCTCCTTTTATTTTTAATTTTTTTGAACATTTTAATTAATATATGTCTTGATGTGGACCTCCTTGGGTTCATCTTGTTTGGGGCTCTCTGAGCTTGCTGGACCTGGATGTCTTTTTCTTTCCCCATGTTAGGGAAATTTTAGCTATTATTTTTTCAAATAAGTTTTCTGCCCCCTTCCCTCTGTCTTCTCTTTCTGGGACCTCTCTAATGTGAATGTTAGTATGCTTGATATTGTCTCAGAAGTCCCTTAACCTCTCCCCATTTTTAAAAAGTGTTTTTCCTTTTTGTTCTTCAGCTTGGATGCTTTCCGCTACCCTGTCTTCCAGATTGCTTCATTGTTTTTCTACATTTTTTTAATCTGCTCTTGATTCTCTCTAGCATATTTTTCACTTCAGTTATTTTATCCTTCAGTTCTATTTGGTTCTTTTTCATATTTTTCTATCTCTTTGTTGCTGTTTTCGCTTAGTTCATCCACTCTTTTCTCAAATCTGATGAATATCTTTATGACCATTACTTTGAAGTCCTTATCAAATAGATTGCTCATCTCCATTACATTTAGTTCTTTTTCTGAAGCTTTTTATTGTTCTTTTGTTTAGAATATATTCGTCTGTCTCCTCATTTTGTCCGCGTCTCTGTGTTTGTTTCTTTGAATTAGGTAGGTCATCTATGTTTTCTGGTCCTGAAAGTAGTGGCCTTATGAAAAGGCACCTTGTGGTGCTCAGTAGTGCAGTCTCCCTGGTCAACAGAACCAGCCACTGTGGGAGTGTCCACTCTGTGGAACATATGTCTTGTTGTGACTTGGCCATGACTGCTGCTGGTACACTTGTGGGCTTGGCTGGCCATCAGCCCTGTTGTCAGCAGTGACCTGGGTATGACTGCTGTGAGCATGCTGGTAGGTAGAGCTGGACCCTGGTGCACCTTGGTGAGTGGTGCAAATATAGCTGTTGCTGGCTTTCTGCTGGGTGGGGTAGCTCCTAACACAGCTGGTTGAGAGTCCCATCTATAACTGCTGTTGGTGTGCTGGTAGGTGGAATTAGTTCCCATTGTAGCTGGCTGAGAAGCAGGGCTATAGATGCTGGTGGCTTGCTAGTGGGTGCAACCATCTCTTGGTACAGCTGGTTGAGTTGGCTGGCCACAATGGCTATGGGTATGCTGTAGATGGGGCAGGAATCTTACCTCCCTCCCCAGGGCAGGAGTCATTTTGTAGGGGTGCCTGTCCTGGGCTGGGCTGCCCACCAGGTATGATGAGGTAG